CTCTTTCAACTAATCTTGTACAAAATTTCCAAATCTCTCACCCTCTTTCTCTCTCTCTTCCTTCCCACACTCTCGTACAGTTGTTTGCCATTAAATGATTGGAATGGTGCATCCTTACCTAGCTTCTTTATAAGAATCAATAGTTTACCTTAAAAGAATATGTTCTTTTCCTTCATATCATAATGTTCACAGAGAGTAAGCAAAAGGATTAATTCCAGATTAGATGAAAAATCCACCAACTATCAAAATAGCTTATTATTACCATTCAGTTATCCAGGCAATTGATGGATTCATTTCCTAAATTCTGTCTCTTTGCACTTAGTAAATGGACTCCATTGAAGAAATAGGACTCCATCAAACACATATCTCTACCTGTAACCCCGCAACACATCCACTCAGAAAATATTGTAACATTTTTTGGAAAAATCTAAAGATGTGTATCCTTACTTTGGTCTCAGCATGCTAGGGAACTTAGCCTCTATTTGGAGGCTGCAATCGGGGCTCATTTGCTTGTAGCAGGTAGGTTTTGCAGCATAAAAGTCATTTCATTTGAACAAACCTGGGGCACTCAGTACCAGACAAGAGATGTAATAGCCACAGAATTCTACACAGAGGGCACACACTGAGTATTTCACTTCAGAAACTCACATAATTATAATTACTGACAAGCCTTTTCATAATCTAGGAAGATGGTGAACTCTCTTATAAGGATGATACAAAGACAATTAAATATGGGGATTTTCATTAAATATTAAAGTGTGTGTTCCCTTAATCTTTTATCAAGAGATTGTTCAGTATGAACTTTTATTTAGAGGAAACTGAATTCTTTCCCCACCCCGTCTGCGTCTCCATACTCACGACAAAAAAGTAAACAACTTTTGTTAACTAAGGCAAGTGTCCTGTCAGTAGTTGTGTTTCCATCATAGTTGAGAAGACACTTTCACTTTGTCTCCTCAAGTCTAACTTTGACAAACCCCTTCTTGACCAGGTGACCGCATCACAGCCTCTGCAGAACTCACAGATACCCTGAGGTGTGCAAAGCTCAGAACACTTGCATTTATACTGACCGTTTTATTGCTTCTTCTTGTCTTCGGCGTTTTTCATTCTTTTCCTTCAAGTAGGCCAGGTTTGTCTCATTTCTCAAGCGATCATTTTCTCGAGCAATGTCCGATGCATTCTGAATAACCAATCCGTCGTAGGCCTTCATCCCCATATCCTCAATATACTGGAGAAATGTGTCCAGAGGGTCTTCCTCAGGATTAGAACTCATCATCCTGGAGGATTTCATGTGAAAAGGAACACTTCCTGTGGGATGAGAACACATTTTACCTTCAACAAAGATGTGGATAAAAGCAAGGTGCTGCTTATTCTCTTAACATCTTGTCAGCCCCAAACTCCAATGATTATGGTGGGATCTACTTGGAGAAAATGTCTCGTTAGAAATTACAGTCAGGAGGCTTCCGGGAAGATGGCGGAAGAGTAAGACATGGAGATCACCTTCCTCCCCACAGACACACCAGAAATACATCTACACGTGGAACAACTCCTACAGAACACCTACTGAACGCTGGCAGAAGACCTCAGACATCCCAAAAAGCAAGAAACCTCCCACGTACCTGGGTAGGGCAAAATAAAAAAGAATAAACAGAGACAAAAGGATAGGGACGGGACCTGCACCAGTGGGAGGGAGCCGTGAAGGAGGAAAGTTTTCCACACACTAGGAGCCCCTTCGCCGGCGGAGACTGCGGGAGGCGGAGGGGGGAAGCTTTGGTGCCGCGGAAGAGAGCGAAGTAACACGGCTGCAGAGGGCAAAGCGGCGAGATTCCCGCACAGAGGATCGGGGCCGACCGGCACTCACCAGCCCGGGAGGCTTGTGTGCTCACCCGCCGGGGCGGGCGGGGCTGCGAGATGAGGCTCGGGGCTTCGGTCAGAGCGCAGGGAGAGGACTGGGGTTGGCGGCGTGAACACAGCCTGCAGGGGGTTAGTGCGCCACGGCTGGCCGGGAGGGAGTCCGGAGGAAAGTCTGGACCTGCCGAGGAGGCAAGAGACTTTTTCTTCCCTCTTTGTTTC